AGGCTCTGCACGCTCAGGCTCAGCACCCCCAGACCCCGCACCCGCAGGCTCAGCACCCCTAGCAGCACCAGAGTCAATAGCTACCTCGACAGGCTCGACTGCGTCTACCTGGGACACACCTGAGGGGGCAGGACCCTGAGGGGGGAGGGGGTCTACCTGGGGAGGACCTGGCGTGAGGAAGAGCGGCGGGGGGGGGAGGGGGGTAGTGCGGTAGGGGAAGAGACGGTAGTAGGGAACCGATTCGTCAAACGTGACGTCCTGAGAGGACAGAACACGGCGCGAGGTGGGGTGGTAAAACTGCCAGCCAGGCGCGTCAGGGGGGAAGCCAAGGAAGACGCAGGGAACGGCACGGGAGGACAGCTTGTCCGCAGACAAGTCGCGGACTAAAGCTCGAGATCCCCAGACACGGAACGCAGACGCATCGCCAACCTTCCCCGTCCACCGCAGAGTGGGAGTGGTCTCCGGCATGGAGACCCGGGGCTGGAGGTTGATCTGATGCGCCGCGTACTGAACCGCGAACGGCCACAGAAAATGGGGAGCAGCCGCATGGATTGTGGACGTACGAGCGACATCCATGACCATGCCAATGCGGCGCTCAGCAATCCCATTTTGCTGTGGAGAGGCCGGAAGCGTGAACGTCTGGCGGATGCCCTCCGCCCGACAGTAGGCCTGCAGAAGGTCGGAGGAAAACTCTCCACCTCTGTCTGAGTGCAGACGCACAACAGGAAAGTCCGAGCCGAAACTCTCTTTGGGCTGGAGACGGGCAGCGCGGATCCAGTCGATCAACACCTCAGTGACCTCACCCTTGCGGCGCAAGGGGAAGACTGTGGTGTAACACGAGTAGTCATCAACCACCAGTAGGAAGTAGCGCTCATGACCCTGTCCACGGACGCGGGCTGGGCCCCACACGTCCATGTGAAGAGTCTGCAGGGGAGCCTCTGTCGGAGGAAACTCGGAGGAGTGAGGAGCGGTGCGCTGCCGGCCCTCGATGCAGGGAACGCAGGTAGGGGCAGGCCCCAGAGGAAGGGGAGGAAGGGAAGGGGGGAGACCAGAGACAAGGACACGGGAGGCCATGCCTCTGAGACGAGGCAGGGAGGGGTGACCAAGGCGGTGGTGCCAAAGGAGAGTCTCGTGAGACAGGAGACGACACGAGCAGGGGGCAGACTCAGGGCCAGACCGAGACGCCGCAGCAAACACCTGACCCGACGCGGTTACCAGACCAGTCGCAGTGACAGGAGGAGACTCAGTGGTAAGGGTGTATAGGCTGGACCCTGGCCGACGGGTGAACGTGGCCAGGTGACGACCCGTCCGAGCACACGTGCAGTGTGTCACACGCTGGTAGGCAGGGGTGAACTGGTGAACACCCCCATCCTGAAGATCAGCACCCGCCACCAAGTTCGTAGAGAACGAGGGGAGGTGAAGACCAGACAACGAGCCGGACGGAGCCGCAGGACACGGGAGAACAGTGGAGGAACGGGCCACAACTGGTCCCCCAGAGGGGTCAGCAAGAGAGACTGCCACAGGCCGACTGAGTGGCGAGAGTGTGGTGTAGTCGCGAAAGAAGGAGCGGGAAGCACCCGAGTCAAGGGTGAAAGTGTGTAAGACCTGAGCCGACGCTGTACCTGAGAGAGCAGTCTCACCAGCACCTGGAGCAGTAGACTCACTAGCACCTAGCGCAGCAGCCTCAATGCCCGGGTCGGGCGGAACACACAGGTAACAGTCACCCTCAGCACTAATAGACACAGCATACATAGCAGCAAGGATAGCATCAAAGTCAAGATCAAAGATAGCAACCCTCGACTTAAGCAGAATATCCCAGCGAGGGATCTCAGTAGAGCCAGGGAACTGAGTACGCCAGGCGTCAGTCAGGCGGCCAAAGCAGCGAGGTGTGGTGTGCGGGCCGCCGCACGGCTCTCCACTGCGGTCGCCGGTGCGAAGAACGTAAGTGCAGGGACCAGCACCCCCAGACCTCCCACGCCCAGCGTACCACTCACGGAGCTGCTGAGGCGACAGGGTCTCACGGGAGCGCTGCTGCTGCTGGCGCTGGTCACCGCTAGCTCCTCCCCGCTGCCCACCACCGCCCCCGCCACCCCCGCCGCCGCCACCTCCACCCCCACTCCCGCTGCCTCCGCCGCCTCCACCTCCTTCGCCGCCACCGAAGCCCCCACCCGAGCCACCACTCCCACCTCCACCTCCACCCCCACCCCCTCCGCCACCTCCACCGCCACCACCGCCGCCCCCGCCGCCCCCGCCGCCCCCTCCACCCCCCTTGCCCCCCTTGCCGTTGCTGGTGCAGCGCCTCCCACTAGGAGCAGACGCAGCGCCGACCGACTCCGTGCCAACAAGGTCGACAGCAGCAGCAGAGGCAACAGAGGGCAAGAGGGGAGAGGGGGAGCACCCCTCAAAGAAAGGGGCGCGAGGGTCACCACGAGAGGCCCCGACAGCGACTATACTCTTCTCAGCTGCAAGGAGGCGCTCCTCGAGGAGGTCAATGGTGAGTGTGGTGGGGCAGAGGGAGAGGAAGTGGTCCCTGACCGAGCAAAAGGAGTCAGGGAGCCGGGTGACGAGGTAGTAGAGAGTGATGTACATAGGGGGGGGGTTCTTGGCGCAAAACTCGGCAGGAAGTGCAGCGCGGTAGCGGGTGTCACTAGTGCGGAGGTGCGTGATGAGGTCAGCGACTGTGGCAAAAGCGGCTAGGTCAGGGAACAGGTACGGCAGCATGAGGCGACTAAGGGCAGCAGTGGCAGGGGAGGAGTAGCGCGCAACAACAGCATCGTACAGAGTCCTAGCGGTCTTGTACTGACTAAAGTGCGTGCGCTCAGCAGACGGCAGGTGACTACGGATAGCAAGGCGGGCAGCAGCATCGCGAGTGGTCCACTGTGAGCGAACAGCACTATCAGCAGTGGCAGCAGGTGCAGCAGAGGCGCCAGACGTGAGATCAAAAAGCGAGACCTGATCTTTGCTATCGCACTGCAGGAACAGCTGTAGGTCATCTACCCAGACCTCGAAATCCACTGCCCGACCCTCAGCATCGAATTTGAGTACGTTGGGTGCAGCCATAACAGCAGTAGGAGCAGTAAGAGCAGCAGGAGCAGCAGTAGCGACGCGACTCGAAAGGGCGGCGCGGCTAGGCAGGGCGGCTCGGCTAGGCAGGGCGGCGCGGTTCGGCGGTGTGCTTACCAGGGGCGGGTGGGTAGGGAGGCCGCTACTGATGGGGCAGGGCCGTGGTGCGCCGGTAGGGTCGGGGCCGCAACTGGGCGGCAGGTCAGAGCCGTGGCTCGGCAGCAGGGCAGGGCCGGGGCAGAAGTGACGGCAGCGGCGGCGGCGGCGGCGGCTCGTCATACCGGCGGAGGCAGGCTCGGCGGTGGCGGCAGGGACAGCAGCTGCTGCAGGGCTCCCCGGCGGCTGCTGCAGGGCTCCTCGGCGGCTGCTGCAGGTGGAGGCCGCAGCTGGCGAGGGGGGCAGGGCGGGGCCGCAGTGGCGGGTCGCCGAGCAGAGCAGAGGAGGGCCGCTCCGAAGGCAGGGCAGGCCGCGACCGGTGACGGGGCGAGGCCGCGAAGGGTCGTGAGGGGGGCTGTGAAGAGCCGCGAAGAGGGCCGCGAAGGGCCGTGAAGGGGCCGCGAAGGGCCGTGAAGGGGGCCGCGACGGGCCGTTAAGGGGCCGCGATGGGCCGTGAGGGGGCCGCGAAGGGCCGCGAAGGGGTCGCGAAGGGCCGTGAGAGGGCCGCGAAGGGCCGCTAAGGGGGCCGCGAAGGGCCGTGAAGGGGCCGCGAAGGGCTGAACGAGGGGTCGCGAAGGGCCGAGAAGGGGCCGCGAAGGGGCCTTAAGGGGCGCGACGGGCCGCTAAGGGCAGGGGACGCGACGGGAAGGCAGGCGCACGGGGCACGACTAGGGCAGGCGCGAAGCGCGCTCCGGGCAGGTAAGGAAAAAAAAAAATCGTAGTAGTGGTGGGCCCTAGAAAACGTTCCCACTAGGGAACTTGCTCTATACCATGTGAGAATTACGAGGGATGAAATGACTAGGAATGAGTTGGATACAAAAGGGAAACCTAGAAATGTGGTACCCCCTATTGTCTAACCCACTACAGCCTAAACAGGCTATAACATAAAGTTTGACACCTTGGTGATGTGGTGCTAGGTGTAGGTTTGGCGAGTAAAAAACTGAAGGCAACGTGGGGCAACCTCGGTATCGTGGATGTCGGCCGAACGTGCGAAGTCCAAAATTTGGGGTTGTACACACGGTAGTCCCCTCCACAAGCCCTTCACTACACGCAGTAGTCAACCCCGTTACTTAGCCTTTCTCCTTAGGCAAATGGAACACCACTATGCACCCAAAGGCTCTCAGCATGTTCACATATGGAGCACTCCCATACCACTTGGTGTAGGGGACCCACTACTTGCCCCCCACAGTCGCCAGCACCGTGTTTTTCACAAGGGCGACCTTCCGCAGTGCAGTCACCCAGAATGGGTCCGGCAGCCCTACACGCCCAAAGAGAGTGCGTGCGCCTTCTTATAACCCGCATCTCATATTTTTTTTTCCAACCAAAGGTAATACGCTTGAAACCGGGTAACCAAACAATCACTCGCAAAACACTCACGTTTGGTTTGGCACGGGTGCGACTGGCTGCAAACCAAACAGTTTGGTAGGTGCAGGTGCCAGACTACCAAGCCGGGTTTGCGAGAAACAGGCAACTGCGTGTGCGACGGACTGAGAATGCGACACACAGCCCAGAACCGAGCATATTACGGACCTGGAAAAATATGAGACTGCAAACCCAGACAGGTTGTAGGCGGAGGAACATACTTGCACCGATTTCTCTAGCGACTAAGTCTCATTTCAGCATCTTATTTTCCCTCAATATATTCCAGGCATGTCGTCCTATCCCCACGGCCTCTCGTCGCTATGACGAGAGGCCGCGCCTGTACGCGGATGCTGAAACCATGTGCATAGCTTGGTTCCAAGGCGTGCGCTCCGCTTTTCCTGCTCGCGTGTTGAAGCGAGATGCCGAAACGTACGCGCCCGCACGTCGTCGTCCTATCGTCGTTCATGATTCCGCTCGTTGCCCACGCTTAGGTACGTCGCCCACGCTTCCATACGTCGCCCACGCTTAGGTACGTCGCCCACGCTTCCTTACGTCGCCCACTCTGCCTTACATCGCCCACGCTTCCTTACGTCGCCCACGCTTCCTTACGTCGCCCACGCTTCCTTACGCCGCCCACGCTTCCTTACGCCGCCCACGCTTCACCTCGACTCTCCCTTCCATTCGCCGCCGTCCCTTCCGCCCGTCGCCCTCCCTTCCGCTCGTTGCCCTCCCTTCCGCCCGTCGCCCTCCTATCCGCCCGTCGCACTCCCTTCCGCCCGTCGCACTCCTTTCCGCCCGCCGCCCTTCCATCCCCTCGTCGACCTCCCTTCCGCCCGCCGCTCTTCCTTCCCCTCGTCGCGCTCCCTTCCGCCCGCCGCCCTTCCTTCCCCTCGCCGCGCTCCCTTCCGCCCGCTGCCCTTCCTTTTCCTCATCGCGCTCCCTTCCGCCAGCTGCCCTTCCTTCCCCTCGTCGCGCTCCCTTCCGCCCGATGCCCCCCTTCGTCTCGTCGCCCTCCTTCCCGCTCGTCCCCTCGCAATCTCCCTCTCTCTCGCCCTCCCATCCACTCCACGTTGCCCTTGCCATCCCTCCCTTCCCTGCTTCCCCCAATCCCCTTCCCTTGCTTCCCCCCATCCCCTTCCCTGCTTCCCCCCATCCCCTTCCCTGCTTCCCCCCATCCCCTTCCCTGCTTCCCCCCATCCCCTTCCCTGCTTCCCCCCATCCCCTTCCCTGCTTTGGTTGAACCATTCAGCCACGCCGTTCTGCTGAGGTTTGTAGTGCACTGTGAGCTGATGCTGGACCCCCTTTCGCTTCAGCTCCGCCTCAAAACCAGTGCCAATGTAATCTCCCCAATTGTCGGTGCGGATCACCTTCACTTTGTGTCCACTCTCCCTTTGCGCCCTCGGAATCCACTCCTTAAGAATAGCGGCTGGCACCTCCCCCTTTGCCTTGAGAGGGTACACCCACACCGCATGCGTGTGGTCGTCTACAATGGTTAAGAAGCAGAGGCTATCCGAGAGAGAATGGGCCCTTGTAGGTCCCACCACATCCATGTGCACAAGTGCGAGTGGTGCCTTGGCTGGTCCTGTGCTGCTGCTAAAGAGGAACTAGGTAAACTTAGTTTCAAGGCATGTAGGGCAGCTCCCAATCTCCTTTGCTCCCCCCTTCACCTCCAGCCCCTTCAGGCTCCCATCTTTCACCAAATTCTGCAGCATAGGAAAATTCACATGACACAACATCTCGTGCCACGTCTCCCAATCAGCCTCACCACTCCCAGATGAAGCCTTTTCCCATGCAGCTGTCCCATCCACACCAGCAAGCACCCCACCATGTGGCTGTTGTGGCTGCTGCACCTTCTTGACTGCATCCAGAGCCTCAAAGGTTGGCACTGTCTCCTCTCCTCCCGCATTTGATTCAGCCGTTGCTGTTGCCGCTGTCGTTGTTGTTGGTCGTTGAGGATGATGGGCAGCTGCCATAGGTCCTTGATGCAGCTGCTCTCCTCCTCCAAAATCCACAGCAGCAACTTCCCAAGCTTTGCACAACAGCTGGTTGGGCCGAAGGTAACTTCATCCTTGCTCTTCTGCAGCCGGCGCACAGAAAGAAGGTTAGCGGACAAACCTTCAACCAGCAGCACATTCCCCAGCCCCACAAGCTCCCCATTGGCACCCATCACCTTGGCATTTCCAACACCAATCATAGGGAGCAAAACACTTGAAGCAGCAGCCACAAACTTGATCTTCTTAGGGGGCTTTACCTCACCAAGCAAATCTGCCGGTGGGGTCATGTGCAACGTGAATTATTTACCGAGTGAGTGAGGGGGTGCAACACAACCTTCCCAACCGAGCACACATGACCCTCTCTCCCTTTCACATCTTCAACCATAAGGAACACCAGGAGAGGTTTTACCTTGTGCACCTTCATCATGTGCACCTGAACCTTGCACAGCACCACTTTGTGTACGTTCACCACTTGGCAGCTTCATGCCTAAAGGCGCCCATCCCTCAAGCCAGCTGAAACACTTGAACCAACAATTTTTTTTTTTTTTTTTTTTTTTTATGATAGTACATTATAAAGCGTATACATTCTCAGCCGTAACTGGAAGCTGGAAGAGGCACATCCTAACTACCACAGATTGGTTTTCAGGACCCCCCTCCGGGTAACTCTCTACGGGGGCTGACGGATCGTCCTGGGGTTTCGTTAGTTGGAGAGAAAGCCATCCCTCCACGTGGCCTGATCGCCTGGCACACACAATTTCGCCACCGCTGCCCTTTTGTCACCCATCAAATCTCACCACGGGTATTTTTCCTGCTTCAATGTACCGCTTCTTCTCGCCTTACGCGTACGTTCCGTGCGATATATTTGTGCGTGCAGTACAAAATCACGGATCGCCCCTCTCGCTGCCTTCTTCCGCTGGAAAGCCACCCCTCGTCAGACCATGTCACACCTTGCCAGCCAAATTTGCCGAAAAGTTGTTGCCACCAATGTTGATGCCGGGAATCTTGACCGTGTGTTTCCCTCCTCGAACATCGGGTCCTCCAGCGATCGCGGGTAACCCGAGTGGCCCATCATCTGTAGAGCTCGTAGCAGCGCGCCGATTACAGGTTGGACGGCCGTGCAGCTGAACATGCAATGCTCTATGGTTTCGGGCTCCCCACAGTGTGAGCACCGCGCCCTCGCCCCCAGGAAGGCGAGTCTCCCTCCCACTTGCAGGTCCATGCTGTGTATCCTGAGCAAGACATCCCTCGACCAGAAGGGGGTCACTGTGGAGTCTCCCCTGCTCTCCACATTTCTCCAGTTGATTTTTCTACCCCACTTCTCCTCCCACTCGCCCCTTCTTCTTGAGGTCGTTGTTGGCCCTGTTAACTCCTTCCGAATCACCTTCACCGCCACTGGCACCCCGTCATTGCTCAGTAGCCGGGACTGCTGCAACTTACCTCCTGGTGCTCCCAGCAGCCCAAGTAATCTCCCTCCTCTTGTCGCGACCGTTTCCACACTCTTCGCGGGGAAGCTCGGCGCGAATGGTCTCTCCCATCCCTCCAGTATTTACCCCTCAACACACCATAGACTCGTCGTCGCTACCTCCTCCTTCCCTTGCCCCTCCACCTTCCAGTAGAGGTACTCCTGTCTGCGGGAATGAACGTATTGTATCTGCCACTTTTACTACTTTCTCAGCCATTTTCGGCGCCGTTATCATCTCCTTCCATTCTTTCGGTGTAGCCCCGTACGCCATCAGTGCCCATCTGGCTGCCGCGACGCCCCCAAGCTCTGTCCTTAACACCTCCTTGCTTTTGACCACCCATTCTCCCCCTGGTCTCTCCACGATCAGGTCCCCGACCTTTGTCTTGTGTTTCCCCTCCGTACCCTTCCGGTACCGTATGAGCTCTTCCCTCTGAACATGGGTCCTGCGGTTAAAGCACAGGAGTTGCTGCTCCACCTTCCAGCCCTTTGACGATTCCGGGACCGTTGCATATGGAGAGTCCCAGAAAACCACCACCGCTGCCTTCCACCTTTTACTCCCTCCCGGCCAGTGTCTCCCCGCCGATGGGTCCGCGAATAGTGTGGCCTCCCTTTGTGGTAGTGCCGCAGCTTTTCTCGCCAGCCTTTTCTTAGTGTCATTGCCTTCTGCCAGCAATTTCCCGGCCATCCTGATCGCCAATGCCCTGCCCTGCACTCTACCCACTTGCTGCCCCGCCCTGCAGCCCGCGCATCGCCATACCATGCAGCCCGCACGCCGCCTTGCCCTGCAGCCCGCGCACCGCCCTGCCCTGCAGCCTATGCGTCATCCTGCCCTGCTGCCCGCGCACCTCCCTGCCCTGCAGCCCGTGCGCCGCCCTGCCCTGCAGCCCGTGTGTTGCCCTGCCCTGCAGCCCGCGAGCCGCCCTGCCCTGCAGCCCGCGAGCCGCCCTGCCCTGCAGCCCCCGTTCCTCCCTGCCCTGCAGCCCTCGCGCCGCCCTGCCCTGCAGCCAGCGCGCCGCCCTGCCCTGCAGCCCGCACGCCGTCGTGCAGCTCACGCACCCTGCAACTAGTGTGCCCTGCAGCTTAGGACGTGGCGGTTTTTTGCTCGTGGCGCGCCTCTACTGCTGCCCGTTTTTCTTCCCGCGGCGCGGCCCTAGAGTGTGCCCCTCTAGTAGCCCGTCGAGCGCCCTTAGCCCGCTTTCGTCCTACTGGCACCACCACTCCTACTACTGCCACTGCCTGCCATGGCCACTACCACTATCCTACATCAGCGGCAGCCGAGTGTGCAGGAGTCTCTCTTGCCGCAGCAGCTTCGCGAGTGGGCTATCTGGTGGAGCAGCCCTGGTGGCGGAGCTAGCCATGCTTGAGCTAGAGGTGCTGGTGCCTTGCGTTGCTCGTACTCGTCGGCAGGAGATGCTCTCGTTGCAGCAGCTTCGCGAGTGGGCTGTCTGGTGGGGCAGCCCCGGTGGTGGAGCCTATGGTGCTCCTAGTGGAGGTACCTGTGAGTCTACTCCTACTGGTAGTGCCGTTGGTGGACGCGGGGGTTCTGAGAGTGGACAGCAGCAGCAGCAGCGTCCGCCGGAGACCCTCTCACCGCAGCAGCTTCGTGAGCGGGTTGTCCGGTGGGGCAGCCCCGGTGGCGGAGCTTGGGGTACTAGTGCTGGGGGTGGAGAGGCACCTGGTGGTGTAGAGACTACTACTCTAGGTGCTTATGACTCAGCTAGCACAAGTGCAGAATCTGAGGAGGCCTTGCACACTTTCCTACTCGACTCAGGTGCGTCTCGCTGCTTCTTCCGCTACTGCACCACAGTCACACCGCTCACTGCCCCTGCTCACAGCCACAAAAGGCTACAACATTTGACTGATACACGGGTTTATATAGGAATACAAAGGAATACGACGAGTCATAGCTAGCCATGTACTATAAGGGGGCTACAGTAGGAAAGACAACCGTTCGGTTCGGATTTTTAAATGCATTTCCTGCGCTTGCACTTCAAATTCTTCCTGATTTAAATTGTCTTCAATATCTGTTTATGTCGCTCGGTCTTCATCCTCGTTGTTGGAATAACCGAAAGGTTACTATAAGCATTCCCAAAGGTTTCCCACCAACGCGCCAGTTCTTAACAGAACAACGCGCTGTACCAGTACCGCAATAGCTCATATAGAGCACACGGAAGGTCGAGAGTCACCCGAAGGTCAACAGTCGAAGACAGTCAACGGTCGTGACTCTTGACCGACCAGTAACCATACGACAGTTAATCTTTGCAACATGGTAACTGTCGAGAATAGCAATAGTCGTGGTTACTGTAGTTATGCAAAACAGTTAATAAGAAAATGTACCCCTCAGAGTACATGGCTAGCTATTTTGCTATTTTACCCCTTGTACTTCTATCCTATAATCATCGTGTTTTCTTTCAACTCGTTAACAAGGTCACTATTAAGACTCAATTGTCTTTTCTCAGACTTAACAGATTTTTCCTATCCACTTCGATCCTTCGGTGATAACATCATGGTATGAGAGCTAGAGTGGATTATAAGGCCTGTTAAGATTCCGCTCTTCCTAGAACAAGTTTTCTATAATCACTCAATATCTTACAAGTCTGCATCACTGTGGCTCCTGAAGGGAAAGCTACTGCAGACTCTCCGGGCCCACCACCAGCAACGACTAATGCGCCATCAGCAGTAACTTCCATCAGCACCGCTTTCGTCGAGCAGCTAGTCGCTCGCATCAACGCTCTTGAGAGCCATCAAGCTATGAGCATCGATGGCTCGAGCTACACAAGAGGA